ATTATTATTATTATTATTATTATTATTATTATTGTCATTAATATTATTATTATTATCATTATCATTATTGCTATTATCCTTATTTAAGCCTAGAGCTCCTATATCGTTAATATTTTTGATTTTAACTACGCAAAACTTTTTCTAGCTATCTTTCCCAATAGCCTAATTTTCAATCGAGACTCTTCTTTATACCATAGAAACATGATATCGGGTACTGTACACATGATATATTTAAAGATGTATGTACAGGAAAGCCCTTATCATGGTTGTAAATTCCTGAAACATAATACTTAATCTTCAACTTTCTATATTAGATGAGATGAAATGATGAACTATAGATAGAACTGTGTATATTAAAAAAGATCTTTACTAATCGAAGTTTAAATAAATGCCCTGCATTTAACATTATACTGAGCCTGATTCAGTTCCGTTCTACAGATGCTAGCCAAATGGGTTTTTTTTACTGACCCCCAAAAGTAACTGAAATCAGATAGTTTACGAATATTTGAACTTAAATTAATTCAATTCATATTTTGAATAAATTCAAACCGGGACTCGAACCGAGATCCTTGCTGATCAATTCCCTAAATGACTGAAACACTTTGATAGCTACTCTTTTGAGTAAAATCGAACCATGATTCGAACTGGGATCCTTTTTGTTCAATTGCCTTAATTACTGAAACACTGAGACTTTTCATTTTGTGAGTGAATTGAGATCAGTAACTTTCTTGTTCTTGAATGGAAAACTTAGACAATTCATCTTTTACGTAAATTCAAACCGGAATTCGAACTGGGATCCTTCTTCTTGGATTGCCATAATGAGTGGAACATTAAGACTTTCAACTTTTGAGTAAATTCAAACCAGGATTCAAACTTAAAAAATACGTCTTTTAAATAAATTCAACGCGGGGCTTGAGCCGGAGTCCCGCTTCTTTGATTGCCTAAATGACTGATACACTCATAACTCTTGACTGGAAAACTTTAACACTTCCAAGCGGGATCCTTCTTTGATTACTTGAATGACTAGGTCAGTTAAGCTGTTTATTGTTTGAGTGAATTGAACCGGTAACCTTCATGTTCTTGACTGGAAAACACAGAGAATTCATATTTTAAGCGAATTCAAGCCCTGAAGCAAACCGGGATCCTTCTGCTTCGAAAGCCCAAATGAGTGGATCAATTAGATGCAAAAATCAAATTTGAAGTAAATTCAAATCAGGATTCGAACCAGGATCCTTCTTCTGGCTGGATCACTTTGGAAGTTTATTTTTCGAATAAATTAGATCCGGGACTGGAAAGCACAGACAAATACAAACCCTGATTCGAACCGGGCTCCTACTTTTTTGATTGCCTTAACGACTAAAACACTTCACTTCTTTCAGAGGACAACTATTAAATGATATGCTTATTAAAGCAAGATTAATCATAGATGTGCATTGTCTTGCGCATTTGTCTAAGTTTCTGCGTTTTCCTTGAAATTAGTAGCATTTTGCTAAGCGCTAAGCCGACACTTCAACGTGCAGTGCATTTCGAGGCAACTAATTTGTTAGCTTGTTAACTTGAGGACCAATTTGGCGTGCATTTTGCTAATGGGAGGATCTTTAATGGGCAGTAACAACTAGCATATGTTCGAGAGCTGCCTCAGAGTACAGAAATGGTTTGATGGGCTCGGCAAAAGCTTTGGCAGGCAGCTGGCGCTAACACAGGTAAATCCACTCAAAGACGCGCTGCCTTTTCAGAACGAGGCCGTAAGCTCCTTTGAGTGCTTTGATGACTTTTCACATAAAATCATAGCGGATTCGGATTCAACAGTCAACGTGACTGTCGGGCGCAGGCACTCACACACTCACAGATACACACACACACACACATACACATACATACATATATAAAAATACATCCATACATATATATATACACTCTCACGCACACTCTTAAGCGCACGAATTTTCCGTATTTTCCACAACCGCTAAAGACTCGTCGCAATGTCAGAGAGCCACACGGACGCTGCCGCTGCCGCTGCCGCTGCCGCCGCTGACGTCGACGTTGACGTTGACTTCGCCATTTGGCTTTGCCACCCTTGTAGTAAATGCCAACGTGAGTTTTCCTTGCGTTTTCATTTTTCCTGCGTTGCTTTTCATTATTTTCTTGGAGTTATTTTTTTTTTTTTTTTTGCCACGACAAACATGAAATGAAAATTCGCTTTTCACGCTCTCACCCTGGCTGAGAGCTCCTGCACCCGCTGCCGTTCGCTCTCGGAGCTCTCGACAGCGACAGCGACCGCGACGTCAATGTCAACGCGTCGCTGCCGGCGTCGCTGCCAGCAGAGACCAAACCACTCACTTGGAAAATATTCGGTTATCCGTTTGGAACGTTGGCGGCGGTGTTTTTATTTCTTGTTATTTTTCATTTTTTATTTTTCTCTTCTTCCTCTTCTTCCTTTTCGACTTCTTCTTTATCGCTCTCAATGGAGGAGCACAGGTCAATACAGCTGGAATAGCTTGAGCTAAAAGTATGTGACAGCCTGTAAACTCATTCAATGTCCAGCTCATGGCAACTATCTTTTAGGTTGCCTTCAGATTGACTATTGCAAGAACATAAATCTTATACGCAGTGCAAAAATGGAAATGTCAGTCTATAAGTTTAAAATCACACGTTATTATACTTAATGCAACTCTTCGTTTCTTTTAAGACATCCATTCGAATTTACTTTAAAACGAGTTCTTTATATATACGGCAAAAATCTAGCCTTTGTTTGATAAACTGATTTTTCTTAATATTTTCCCAGTTTAGCTCACAATGAAATATTGCTTGTGAATTGAAAGATAAGTTAAATAAACAATTTTTTTTTTAATATAAGTAATTGGTTGCTTTTTTTTTTGTCTTAAGACAATGGCAACATTTAGTTGCTTGATTATAAAATTAACAGGAATAGAATATAATATAATAGTATAAACTATTAAAAATTAAATAAACAAAAATAATTAATATTATTTAACTAGCTGGCTTCAAAGCAAAAATGAAAACAATTTTGTTTTAATATATATTTCTCCTCCAAAAAAAATATATTTATATATATTGATATTATTTGAATTTTAATGTAGGTTTAATATAACAAAAGTATAGCCCGAACGCCTATTTATATATTATTATAATATAATGTATTTACATATAATATAATTACATTATATTAAATAATATATGATTGTTTAGCGAATCTTCTAATTACTGTGCTGCAACAAATCATTCTTTTTTTTTTTAATATTTTTTTAATTTAAAAATAATGTTATTACTCAAAACGTAAAGCCTCAGTTCTTTCATATAGCCACATTTAGTTACAAACATATGAGTGTATTTTAATGTTTCTTCCAATCCCTATAATATTATTGAATTAAATAAATTTAATATTTGAGAATTATATATAACGAGCTCTTTAATATATATCAAAAACATTTGAATGAACATTTGCATGTTTAATTAATCTGCCAACTTGTTAAATTTGTTTCTATTTGATTGCAATCACTTGTCTGGCAACTGCTTGTAGGCACTGTGGGATAGGCCGAGTGCAACAAAAACAACAAGAACAACAACAACAACAGGCGAGAGCAACGCCTGCTCTGCGACTCGAACTGTGACTCCGACTTTGAAAATGCTCGCTGTAAGCGGACGGACGGATAAACGAGCGGATAGACGCCGCTCGCACACACACACACGTGCATACGCACAGTTACACATACACGTGCCAGCCATTTTGATTTGACTCCGCCGCAATAACAACAACAACAACAACAACAACGACAGCAACAACAACAAGAAGACTCACGCACAACTTTCACTGTTTCTGGATAGGAAAAATGCGTCGGCAAGCGCTCTGCCAGCGGCAGCTGCTCGGCTGCTATCGCTGCCGCTGCCGCTGCTGCTGCGTGAATTTTCCACAGACATTTTCATTGCAACATTTGAGCGTCGTTGCCAGTTTACTCGTCGCCGTGCCGCGCGTTCGTTCGTTCGTTCGACTCTCAGCTCTCGAAACCGTAACCGAAACTGAAACCAAGCCAAAAGCAAAAAAATTAAAATTAAAAAAATATATATAATATATATATAATAAGAAATTAGACCCGATATCGTTTCTGGACACCAGCGTTGTCCATCGCCGCAGTCGTCGCCAACGTTGTTGTGTTATTTTTTGTCTGGTGGTTGAGTGAAACAGTGAAAGAACGGCAAGTCCAGTGGAGAAGGTACGGCCCGATACCGATACCAATACCGATATATCAATATCAATATCAGCCATACCAATATCGATAACGATACCGATACCGATACCGATAACAAGCTACGAAAACCCAAAGCAAAACCAAAATTAAACAATTGATATTTTGTAATTGTAAGCAAGCATTTTCCAGTTTTCCGTCAGCGTTAGCGTCGACGTCGACGTCGCTGTTGCCGTCGCCGTCGGCGTCCTACGCACTCGCACGCATCTGCTGCTGTCCTGCTCGCACAGCTAGCCTACCATATGCCCAGAGAGCATCGCTCTCTTTCCCATTCCCATTGCCGTACCCATACCCTGACCCGTACCCTTACCCTTACCCTTACCTCTGCCCCTGCCCATAACTTTTCTGATTCTGTTGTACTGAGCGGTCCGTCGCCGTCGTCGTCGACGTCTTTGTCACCTACGCAAAAATCAATAAGCCTCCCAAAAAACAAAAAAAAAAGGACCGAAAGAGAATTCTTAAATTCGATGTGTTTTTGTTGATGTTGTTGTTTTTTATTTTTTCTAGAGGGGAAGGGGGGGGGGGGGGGGGGCGAAAATCAATCGAATTAAAGATTGTGACGACGCGCTCATTCGTTTTCCAACACTGGCCGTTTGCTGTAATTGGGTATTCGATAGTTGTTTACGAGAAACTTAGACAGCATTTGCAGTGCTGTTAATTTCAGTTTTCATAACGCTCTGGAACAATTCATCAACTCATTTCACTCGTCAGTTTCAATTTTTCTCCCTCAACAACAAAAATTATCCAAAATAAAAATCCAAAAAGTATTTAAACACATCATAAAATCCAAACCGAGCAATTCTATCATCATTTGTCGTTTCCCCACAAATTTTCGGCACTTAATTAAAATTCGTCCATATAGACAATATATATATGTATACATACACATATCTATATATATATGTTTATATATGCAGATAGCCACAGACAATTTTCGATCAAGTCCATTAGACGACGCTCGCATTTTTCACATGCATATCTACTAATCCAGCCATAATCAACGCAAAATCGCAAGTGGGCCCCCCAACAACTAAATCAGAAGAGTTACGAGCTACCAAATAAAACCATCCAGAAACAATTGAGTTGACAGTCACCAAAAGCTAAAACGAGCAGCCGAGCAGCCGAGCAGCAGAGCAGCCGAGCAGCCCAGCAGCAGCTACAGTGATCTATCGATCGATTTGACTCAAGAGGAAGTACTTAAACAGGCTGCTCTTCGTTTCATACCAGATAATCACTGACACAGCTGCAGCCGCATCGTTATCATAACTCTAATAACTGAATATTGGGCCATTGACAGCAACAACAGCAACAACAACAACTACAACAACAACAACAAGAACAACAAGAACTAAAGAAAACAATTACCAATAGCCAAACCGTAACAGTCATCAATCTATCAAAGCTAGCAGGAATCTGTAAGTATCTGTTATTGCCGCATATCTAAAAATAACACTGCCCAGCCACTGGCAACTGGCTCTAGATGTACTAGATGTACTCCATCTATACTCCATATGGCAATCAATCAATATCTCAGTTGCACTTCAATCAAATCCCAACAGCACAAATACAACAAATAACTATATATATATATATATATATATATATGAATATATATTTAAAGTGCTGGGAAACGTTTTAAGAACGAAATGTCTGCAATGTTATCCTATGTCCCTCTGGCTCTATCTATAGCACAATCAATCAAATTTTATTTATATTATAGTTTCAGCGTTGGGAAATATTAAAAGATCAGATTTAATCGAAATGTCTAGAATATTATCCCGTCTCACGCAAATCCTTATATGGCACAATTATAAAAGTACGATTTTAACAATTATTTGAGTTAGATTCAAGCAAAAATCAAGCAGAACCTGGGATATACGTGCTTATAGTCCACTAATGTCTAATTTTTACTTGTGAAAGACACTTATATGCCATGGAGAAGAATTTATTAAAGTAAAAAGTAAAGTTAAGCAGTTATTAAAGTAAGTTTCTAGGAAAAGCAAGCGGAACCTTCTTAGAGTCTACACATATATCATTGTTGAATGTTTTATATAGAATGTTAACTGTTTTTAGATTTAAATGGAACTTAAGATTCCACCTTGTTATAGTCCACAAGACTCTGCCGAATTATATCCAATGTTTGTTTGTGTGTCGTCTATAAGACATATCGAATATCTAACGCCTAATCTAACGTTATTAAAGACAGTTTCGAGAAAGAGCTTAAGTCTTATGTGGCATATAGAATCTCTAACTCTTATGGATTTAATTTATACTAATTATCAAAGTAAGATTCAAGAAATAATCAAGCTAAGCTTGTAGTCCACAAAATACTGCTATTTATTTGCATAATTTCAATTGTTCCTTTTCTTATGATTGTCTTTTCCATTTCTTCATAATTCAAATTAGAGATCAACTTGGTTTTGGTTTTTAAATAAACCTTTTCCCTAACACATAAAAACGATATAATATTCCAACTCTCAAGACTTTTATTTATCATAAGCTTCCAGACAAGCAACTCGAACAGGATAAATTGATTAGTTTTCTGTCTTGTCTAGAATTGAATGTTTGCGCGTATATCCGGTTCAGATAATGGGAATATTTAGTTTTTTATAATCGGCTCCAGTTAGAGAGAGAGAGAGAGAGAGGGGGGGATGATTGAATTTATGTAATATCTATGGCAACAACTGCAACTTTGCATCGCTGTTGCAGTTGCACATTTGCTGTTGCAGCTTGATTGCCTATTTTTAAGTCAGTTTGGGGCGATGCATTCGGGAATTGTGTCTGTCTATTTTAAATGCCGAGTGGGGCGATGGCGCGTGGCATGAATGAATCTGAAGCTGTCTGGCGTTTGCCCCACCCGCCTCTCTCCACTCACTCTCTCTCTCTCTCTTTCTCTCTCTCTCTCACTGCCCCCCTCAAGCGCGTAGATCGCTTGTCTAATCCACATAGCTGTGTCTGTGGCATGGCTAAATTTAATGCATTCATTCTCAAGTGAGGCACGGCAAAGTAAGCTTCTTCTTCATGGAGACGCGCAAAATGCTTTGAAATCAATTCAAAAGTTCAACAGCCGCAAAATCCCAGAGAGTGCAAGTGAATGAGAGCAATTGAAAATGGCAGTGGGAGTGCGAGTGCGAGTGCGATTGAGAGAGAGGAGTGGGTAGAGAGAGCGAGAGAGTGCAGCATAAAATTAGAATCAAATTTCTCAGGGGGCGCGCATTCCACAGACGCGGAAATCGCGGCAGCCAGTGTGGCCAGCTCTCAGCGGACAGCGGTCAGTGGCTGTTGGCTAAACGGATTATGCAACACGCCCCCCCGCCCCCCCTTCCACTTGAGCAACGCCCCTGGGATCAGCGCGAGAAAGCTTTCAGCTAGCTGCATAACTGTACCGACGTCGAGAGCGCGCGCGCGCGCTTTATGTCATGCGGTTGTCCTTGAGCCAGGCGCGTTCGCGTCATAAGCTCTCGCTCCGCTCTCCTCTCTGCTCTCTCTCTCTCTCTCTCTCTCTATATATCTTTTCCTGTCTCTGTCCCACTCACTTGTGCATATGTGCTGCATAGTTATATAATCTTTATTCGCATACTAGTTCTATCAGCTATGGCTGCCCCCTTCCCTCACTCCACAGAGCAGCGCCCCCTCACCCCTCCTTCCCTGGCCCGTTTCAGCTTATTGAATTACTTGTCTGCGCATGTGTGTGTGTGTGTGTGTGTGTGTGTTTGCCTGTGCCATTTGCTTTTTGCTTTCTTGATGCCATTTCGTGCATAATTGTTTAATGTCCTGTTTTATTCAGTATTTGCCTTGGCAACCGGCAACTGGCAACTCGTCCTGGTCTCTGATTCCTGATCCCTTCTGTTCACACGACACGCACAATAGACACAACGTTTGTTGCGTTCCCATTGTTCGGCGGGACACTCGTTTTAAAAGTTGTTTTATTATTTCTCATTATTTTCTTTCTTTCATTAATTTTTTGGCTGCTTTTGCAGTATTTTTTTTTTCTTTCTTTCAGTTTTTGGCCGTTGTCTCTGCTGCTGCTGCTTTTGCTGGCAGCGTGTATTTGTTGTTACTGTCTCTTACTGTCTCCTGCTTTCTCTTGTCCTCTCTATCTCTCTCACGCATTCGTTTATGCTGATCTGTTGCTTTAAAGCTTTTGCTCATAATGCGGCCGCCATTTTGCTGCACCAAATATATATACTAATACATGTACATATTTGAGTCTATCTGTTGCATTTATGCACGCACAACTGTTGCCTTCCAGTACTTGCCTCTCTCTTTCTCTCTCTCTGTCTCTGTCTCTGCCTTGCAGCTGATCCAGCTGAGCAAAAGCTTTGCTTGGCCGCATAAACTTCTGTGTGTGTGTGTGTGCTTGAGTAATTGCACTGCATTTTGCATTTAAATTCGCAGCCACACACATGCATACACACGCACGCACGCGAACACATACACACACATAGCTATACGCGCTGCCATTCGCTCTCAATTAATTGCGACGCTGATCGACTGCCTCGAAGCTCTGCTTGCCCGCTTCCATTTTGCTAGACCTGACATACGGACATGCGTGTGTGTGTGTGCTTCGATAACTGCAATTCGCATTGCAATGCGCGCCCACACACACACACACACACTCACACACACACAGCACGCACTTGCACACATAAATATGCCCGCTGCCATTCGCAGGCTGCTTTGTCAGGCCTATTGTTGGTATCTCGCTCTCTCGCTCTCTCACACGCACACACACATGCACACACCCACACCTAGACAATCGGCATTTGCCTTTTATTGCATACTTTGCAGGGTTGCTGCTGCAGTTGCTGCGCGCGCCATTTTTGTGTTGCACTTGTTGTGCAAGCACACACACACACTCACACACACACACACACATTTATGCATATATTTTGTAGAGGACACACGAACCCTTCGCTGGCAGCCAGTGCAGCCGCTGTCGCTGTCGCTGTCGCTGTCGCTGTCGCTGCAACGCGCAGCAGCTGCGAAAATCAGGCAACACGAGTCGCGCTCTTTGCATTCGTCTGGCATTCGCTGCCGACTGCCGACTGCTGGCTGCTGGCTGCATGCAAATTGCACGCCCACTAACCCAGCGGGCCAGCAACTCTCTACCCACCACCTCCCCCCTCTCCGCTAGGTAACCCCTCAAAGTATGCGCTGCAGCGTGTGCAGGGATTTGTATGCGAACAACAGAAGCTGCAGGCGCAACCCCCTTTTGGTCGCTTGCGGCAACCTTTTACCTTTAACCCCTGGGCGCGAGGCTTTTGTATGGCAGAGGATGCACTTTTTGTGTCTTTGAATTATTGGCAAATAAAAAGGCATGAAAAGCTTTCGGCTTTAATTGGCTTGTCGCCTGCTGCAATAAAATTCATGCGCTCTCGCTCGCTCTCTCTCTCTCTGCCTCTTTCTCTCTCTCTCTCTGCCGCTCTCTCTCTCTCGCTAGTATCTGGCGCTCACTCTGTGCTTGCCTCTGTGGCTTGCATTTGTTGCGGCCATCCCTCGTCTTTTCCTTTTTAGCCCATTAAACGTCAATTAATGTCACCTTCAACAACTGCAATTGCAATTGCGGCAACAACAACAACGCGGACCCTGTTCCTGCTCCTGCTCCTGTTGCTCGCTGATTTTGTTTTGATTGCGACGCGTGCGTTGCTGCCACTTGGCCTGCCCCTTCGGCTGCCACATCTCCTGGCCTGCACCTGGCCGCGACAGACAGAAAGTGAGAGGCGAGCGGAAAGGCAGCGTGGCAGCGTGGCAACGGGGCAGCGGGGCAGTTGCATATGCAACAAGTGTCCGGCATTTTGCTAGCGTCTGCCCTTGAGGTTCTTCACATGTGTGTGTGTGTGTGTGTGTGACATATGGCTGCGGTAAAAGTTGATATTATTTCATTTGCAGCACAATTGCACAAATGGTCAAAGATACAAATATATATGTACGCATATATCCCAACTATGTACACATATATGTATGTATGTATGTATAAATATCGACTGTACGTATGACAAGCACATATTTCTGGGCAAAAGCACAAGTTGTGTAAATGTAAGTGTATATGTGTGCGTGCTTTTCACACGTATTTGCCAGCCAAGCAACTAGTTATACCCTGAACCCATTAACAATGGGTACAAGGGTATATTGTATTTGTGCAAAATCCAAATGTATGTAACAGGCAGAAGGAAGCATCTCCGACCCCATAAAGTATATATATTCTTGATCAGCATCAATAACCGAGTCGATCTAGCCATGTCCGTCTGTCTGTCCGTCCGTCCGTCCGTCCGTCCGTCCGACCGTATGTATGAACGCAAGGATCTCAGAACCTATAAGAGCTAGAGTCTTGTAATAGAAATGTAGATGCTCCTGCGCAGATCGAGTTTGTTTCCGATAATCGATAACTTACTCCGTTTCCAAGCAATCGATA